CTGATCCCAAGACTGATATTATCCAAGATAAGGGCTGGGCAAAGGCCCCTGGGGGAGCTGTATGTTCAAAGAGGAAGATGAGGCCATTCGGCACACGTGATGCTACTCCAGCCATGGGCCGCTGTCCTCCTCAGCCTCACCAGCAAACGTTACCCTTTCCTCAACCCTGTTCCAGTGTTGGCCATACCCGGCTTTGGGAGAGGGAGTAAATCTTTCCAGTAGAAAGGCTATTACAGAGGTCACTGGACGGACCCATAAATCTCCATTATCAGGCAGCGGCTCCTGTGCCACGAAACGGAAATTATTACCCTGAGTGCGACTGGGGGAGCCCTTCCTTCCCCCCGCATTGTTCAGGGCCCTCCGGGAGCCGCTCGGGCAATTTGCTGCCTGAATAAACGTTTCCTTTCCCGGCTGCTAAGTACAAGGAATAAGTGTCAGGGGATCTCATAATGCCAGGATTTAGAGCTCCAGCCCTGAGACGGAAGCCAAGAAAACACTTTGCTGCTTTTTCCCGGGGAGCCTCCTTAATCCCTGTTATTAATAACAATGGCAAATTAAACAATTAGTGCACTTGAAGCCCAGTAACCTCCATGCCCAATATAGCTCAGCCTGCTGGTGGATCACGGTTCCTGTGGGCTCTGAGCCCTGAGAACGTTTGGGTTTCCTAGGTCTTGGACACCCACCCATGTCAAAATGCATGGGCTGCAGCTCTTCAGGTGATACTTTCTCATTAGTTTGTAGGTCTTTTCAAGGTTTTCAGGAGCAGCTGGGATGTCTCAGCTGTGTGGACAGAAGGTCAATTCAGAAAGTTCCCCTTGGCCACTTCATCGTTGGGTTTAGTGATGCTGTAAAATTTTAGCACCTCTTTTAGAAAGAAATCCAGTCCCTTGCCTTCCACTACTGCACTGGGGCCCAAATGCCCTTTGTTCATAGTGGGCATGCACTAAGCCTGCATCATCTTCTCTGAGCCAGCATCCAGGAGAGTCCAAGACACATCCTTTGCCATCATCAAGCATACTTTGAAGTAGGAGAGGACATTTCTCCTCCAGGTGAGATCTCTTGAGGTCAAGGAGTCCCCTCTGCTCTGATGGGGCTCCAGGAATGGTTTTCACGAGGTTGCACTCCGCAAACGTCATCTTCTGACTCAGCACTGGGTGGTGCATGCAAGGGACGCACCCATCTGATATCGCCCCATGAGGGCTGTGATTAGGTAGAGACACCCATTGCGTGGAGCCTCAGTGTGCCCTGGGTACAAAGTCTATTCCTTCCCTGTCCCAGGCACCAGTGATTCCTGTTTATTAACGTTCACAAGGATCACCTTTGTCTGCAGCTGAGAGGGAAAAATCATACAAATGCTATTGCTACCGAAGCTGAAGAGGACTTTTGTCCCTCAAGAGGGTAACTCCAGTCTGAATCCCATGGAATTTGAAAAAAAAAAACCCGAACCACCAAGCAAGTAGTGAAGAATATAGCTCAAACAAATATGGATGAAAAAGGAGAGCAGGTCTCCAGGCTACTTTGTACTGGTGTTTTGGATGTCTGATTACAAACCAATAGTGAAAATAATGTGGACAGTGGAGCTGGCTGTCACACAGCCTGCTAGGAAATAACACTCGATATTCAGTAGCAAATTTTATTATTGTCAGAATATAAAAGACTTGCCTGGTTCCAATTCCTCATCCTCTGTTTCTTCCTAAAACCAGAAGTATACCCCTACTTGACATTTCTTCTTACCATATCCAATTTGAGGGACCTCCCTATTCAAGTCCCTCAAGTCCAACTCTTAGTATTTCTGAGGGACTGTTAGGAATTTTCTCCTTTTTTTTTTCATTAAAAACTTTCAGATTTTGGTTTTCTGGTGGGAAAATCTCCAGGAAAGATGGTATTTTGTAATTAGTCACAGACACAACTCAAATTGGTCAAGAGTTTTAACTGTTACCTTGGGGCTACCTCTGCTCTGCTAAATTCTCCCTGGATTATGTTAAAAGCTTTGTACTGAATTATTTTCAGAGAAGAAGGTATTTTCTCACAGGACAAAAATGACGGTGAAAATAATTTGTTTTTTCTTTGGAAAATGATAATCAAACCCCACAACTTCTAAGATGAAAAAAAGTAGTGAAAGGCTTTCCTTTCTCCAGATTTTTCAAGGAAATTAGTTCTTTCCTGGCCAGCTGTTCCAATCCCTTCTCTTTTCAAAGGAAGTTTATTTGATCTAGATTTTGGCTATGACTCAATGGTGATTTTAAAGGGGAAAGTGAGGCATTATGGTTACAGTATCACTGAATCCACGTGTACAAGAATCACCTGGAGGGATTCCCATCTTTCCTAAACCACAACAGTTGCTCAAAGGCGATGAGATTTTCCTAAGGTGCTGGGAAGATACTGGATTCCTTCTTTGCTGGCTCCAGAACCCCTTGGGTACACGCATTTACTGTTTTCTAGTATTTCCCCATGGCCGCTCTTGACGTTTTTAGCCTGGTTTTCTGGGGAGAATTAGGCTCACATGAACCTTTTTCTCTGTGTCTCTGTTTACTGGCGCCACTTTAGTAATTTTTTAGTCCTTTGGCTGTTTCATGGTTATGTAGTTTCCTACAGATTTTCCAAAAATAGTCTGGCGAAAAAGAGAAAATAAGGCTGAAGCTTGAACATAACCCTTATTAGATCTCAGAGAATCCACATGGGATTGAGACACAGATTGGCAAGAAGCCAGATTTTGTTGGTTTTGCTGTTTGGGGAACTATTATCTTCCAGCAGAAAGCTGAGATACTCGTATAACAAGCAGGTGGACAAGCACAAAATATAGCAAGATGCACAATAACATTTTAAGAGTTAATGTTATTCCGATCAGTAATAGCTGAAGGTCCTGATGCAAAGCTCTTGCTGTCCTCCAAATGTCCCCTGTGTGCTGCAGTTTGTTGGGAATGTTTTCAGCAGCCTGGTTTATTCCCAGCCTACGCTAAGTCATGGAGCCCTTTGCTGTCATTTGTAGTTTTCTTCTTCTTTCCAATTACTTTCCCATCTAGCGTTCCCTTTCTGGTGCCCACAACAGAACGTGTCCCTGTGAAAGAAGGAATGGTTTTGCAACAAAAGAAATACGTCCCCAAGCTGAACTCAATAGCTGATACTCTCCAGGTGGGATCACCACCAGGAACGCACGTTTTCAAGGGCCGTGCCAGCTGGACGCAGCTATATTTACATCTCAGCAAGGCCTATAGCTGATGCTTACATTTTATTAGGCGAAGTTCTTGGCTTCTCAAGGGCGTTGTATCCAAGGGTGAGCTGACCTGTGTCTTTCCAAATGACGATGCAGTGGAGGTGCAGTGTGCTGACCTCTGCACCGCCTTGCAGATGATATGGACCTGCCATGGCCAGAGGGATTGGCCTGACCCAGCCCAGGGCAGTTGTCCTCACCCTCACATCATGGCTGCAGCTGAGGGTGAACCAGGAACTTGGTGGGTGAACGCACCAAGCCCTGGAGAGTGACATCAAGCACAATGGAGATCTGCATCAAAAGCAGAGTCTCTGACACCTGTGAACACCCAGCGATGCCTGTTGGCTGACAGCCGGGGCTGGGGCTGTACACGTGGATTCTTGCAGTTCAGGAGACGCTTCTCGTGCAGAAAATGGGGTGAAGGCACATGAACAGGGATTGAGTGCACCCTCAGTAAGGTTGCAGATGACACCAAATTGGGTGCAAGTGTTTATCTGCTCAAGGGGAGAAGGGCTCTGCAGAGGGACCCAGCCAGGCTGGATCCATGGGCCAAGGCCAACTGTATGAGGTTCAACAAGGCCAAGGTCCTGCCCTGGGGTCACAACAGCCCCACACAGTGCTCCAGGCATGGGGAAGAGGGGCTGCAAAGCTGCCCGGTGGAAAAGGACCTGGGGGTGTTGGTCGCCAGGCGGCTGAATATGAGCCAGCAGGGTGCCCAGGTGGCCAAGAGGGCCAGCAGCATCC